TTCAATACTTGGAGTATGTATTATACTTTCTTATCTGAGATTAATCAGTGGACCTTTCAGTAGTAGGCGTATCGTAGAAGAGAATCACTAATGGGCATTGACCTCAAGTACTGTAGAAGTACAGAAATGATAGAGTGTTTTTTTGTGGATGAAATATGGGTATATAGAACGACTAGGAAAAAGGTGTGATATCGAAATTCCAAAAAAGGAAACATGTTATAAAGATATCCTGTTTTCTTTCCTGTATTTCTCATGTAAAACCGGAAACTTTCAAAACGTTTCTACAATGTGTATTTAGGCTTCATCAATACGGTATTGCGAATGCATCAATAGTCAATCAGTCAATTGATTGAATAACGCTTTTGTATCATCGGCACACCTTTTTAGTGTAACCTTACAATGACTAGATAATAATTAATTGATATAGAGAAAACACAAAGAAAAAATGTTCTCTTATAAAGTATAATAAAAATAACCTGATGGAAAAAAAATCAATAGGAAAACTAGGAGGAACACTGCATCAAAAAAAAATGTGGGGGGTGGGGAATAGCCTGGGCCGGGAATAACTCTCCAGGTAGAAAAAAAAATCAGTGGGGAAACTTAGCAGGTGGCAAGTAGCTACCGTAATAGTGCTATATTCTGTAAAGTAAAGCCTCAAACCACCTCAATTTTGAGTCTACTAAATTTAAAAATCTTCTCAGGCTTTTGCAGATATAGCCAGAACTAACTTAATATTTGGAGTTTTTTGATAGCAGATTCTTTTTTTTTTTAGAATTCAGTGAGTTAACCCGACTCAAAGACAATCTTGCGTACAAAAAAACATGCACATTCATCTTCAATACACAATTAAAAATCAAAATTTAAAAGTAGATAGACATTTGAAAACAAGAACAAAACAAAACAAAACAACAACAAAAAAATTCTCCCATATTACAGAAACTTCTTTGTTGAAACTAATACAGAAACAAATTTTTTTGTATTTAAAATATTTTTTAAAAAATGAATTAAGAAACATTAGAACATTCAAGATTAAATAGGCCTACATTAAAAATAACAAGCTTCTTTTCTTTTGACTTTTGGTAGTTAATATATAGATATTTTTTAGGAATTTCGTTGTCCTTATTTATAATGAGAAAATTATTTATCAAAATATTTAATTCAATTTGTTTTTATTTTTGGATAGCTTCATGGATAATCAACATTGTGACAATGAACGCGCAAGACCACA